TGTGTGTGTGTGTGAAGAACAACACATAGTCAATCTCTTATTTGCATTGTGTCTATGCTTTGCTCATTATAATGAGAGGATTTGCGAGCATGTAGAACTACTGGACAAAAAACAGCGGGAACAAAAAAAAAAGTTTGACGTCAGTTACTCCATACAATAGCTACTGAATGCAACATTAAAAATGCTTTGGTAAGTCATAATTCTGACATCAAAAGTAATAATTACGTCAAAGCCTAAAATTATGATACACTGAGATAAAAGTCTAAATCAATATTATAAATCATACTGTTGCCATAATTCTGAGATAAAAATTAGAAATGATGACAAAATTCATGATTATGATAAAAAACTAACTTTTTGTCATAATTACTACTTTTTATCTTTATACTTTTTTTGTGTCTAAGGTTAATGGATAAATGAATAAAATCAAGTCCCTCCCTACATGTTCCACTTCACATAAAAACACGTCACATTGTGAAAGCAAAGTGAGTTTAGAGGCTTTGACAGCTTTCTTTACATGTGGATGTGAGAGAGAAAGATGAAGCTGAATGCTGCAACATAGCTTTATCCTCCAAACTCCATCCCAGCATGCCCTAATGCTGACCGTCTTAGCAAATAACTCTGAAAACTGGTAGAAAGGAGCATTTACACCAGATTCCTGCTCTCTCAGTCCGGCTGCATAATGATATTGATAGTAAACATGTCTGTGGTTCATTTCATACACCGATGAATCGGTTTGTTGTGCGCTGGATATAGCATGCGGTGTTCAACTGAACAGAATAACTATTCTCTTCCCCAGAGGGCAGTTCAGTCATGTGTACAGTGCAGAGTGGAATTGTGGGATATATTATGTGAATAACAGTTTTCTGCAGTCTGTACCATGTTACTTGTCATTAAGCAGATGCCATTGACAACAAATCTTGTTCAATCCATCTTTAAATGTGACGGAGGGGATGATTTTGAGCACATAATGACTAATATTTTGATCTGTACACAAAAATACTGTATGACGTAAGACATGGAATATAGTGCACAAGCCATATGGTGTTGCTTGGTCGTTCCACAGGCAAATGAATGATGACAAAATGTTCATATTTAGGTGAACTTCTTCATGGCCACCACAATTTGGGACAAAATCTGCATTCCTGTGTCATTTATGCAAATATATCACTGCTCTCCGTACGTGTAATGTAACATACAGCGAGCGAATCGCTGTTTGCAGAGCAGCCTGGCCTTAATTTAAACAGGCCCCACTGAGTCTGACAGCCCCCGTTTACATGAATAAAATCAGAAACAAATGTGAACACAATCACCCCCTCCTCCACACACACACGTCTGGTTTGCTATCCTTGTGGCGACTCTCCATAGGCGTAATGCTTTTTCTACTGTACAGACAGTATATTCTATTGCCCTACACCTAAACCTACCCCTTACAGGAAACTTAGATTTTCAAAAAACTTCATTCTGTGTGATTTATTAGCTTGTTTACCCATGGGGACCTCAATTTAGGTCCCCCCCGTGACATGAGTCCCCATGAGTCTGTGTGTATTCAGGTTCAAGTCCCCACCAGAATAGAAAAACAGGTACACACACACACACAATATCAGGCCACAGCTCTGTATTATTATGCAGGATGACTGTCTCTTCTAGAACCTGATGGCCTTCTTGAAAAAAGACAGGAACATAAAGAGAAAAAACATTTTGTATTGTTCACGAACATTAAAAATATTTCCTACTAAAGCTATATATTGTCTTTTCTTCCACCCCAGCCCAGACCCATGAGACTCAGAGAGACTCATTGTTTTATGGCCAATTCTCCTTTTGTGAATCTCACAAAATCTATCTCAATGTCAAACCAACATAAGAGATTACATTTGATTATCTTGTTTTAGTATCATAAAGTTGTTTTGCATTGTGACATAACTTTCTTGACAATTACACACATTCATCTCTCAAACTCTCATTACAGTAACGCACCAGGAAATTCCCATTATTCTACAAGAGGGTGATTCTTAATAAATTCTCATTACTGTCATTTTTTAGTGTATTACAGTATAAATACTGTAATTCATTTATTCATTTTTAAAATTTAAATCAGCATAAAACGCAGTACAAATACCCGCCGTGTAGTATTTAACATGTAAAATTTAGTTATTTTAAACAACATGAAGGTAATGACGATAAGATTTTTTTTTACATTTTTTTGCATTTCATGAATGAAAAGCTTTCATTTTTGCTTTATGGTAAAAAAAAAAAAAGGGATTGTTCTGCATTACGGTAATGAGAATTTAAGAAACAAATGCTTAAATGTCATGAAAAGGAGACAAAAAAACATGCATGCATTGTTAAAATTTAGGGATAATGTAGTCAACCTGTCATCATTATCGCAAAAAGTGATCATAATTATATTGATGTTATTTGGTTTTGATGCTTATTACATGTCTACTTATCAGACAAAAAACTAAATGGACATGTGATATTTATTTGAAGGTGTTTGCATAAATTTTGTTATAATTTTGTGACGTGTGTATGTTTATACAATATATATCAATGTGAGTACATACTGTATATAGAGAGAGACAGATAAATGATACATAGATAATCAGATTGATGTATGTTTGTTTACTTATACAAATATTGATAATAGTGTGATTAAATAATGAGTGTGTGTGTGTCTGAGGCTCGTACTGTAAATCACAGCTATAAGAGATGAACTGAAAGAAAATACACTGCTTGTGTACAGCACCTCTCCATGGTAACAGAGATGGGCGGCAATTCCTTGTGCGCTTCCATAGCTACAGGTCACATATGAAGAAAAACGACCATTTCTCTCTCTGACATGCACGTGTGCACACACACACGCGCACACACACAGCACTGGCTTCAGTCTGCTTAAAAGACTCACTTTAACCATTGAGTTATAAATCAATTTTCTTTATTTAAATCAATGGTCTGGCAGTACGCTACAAATGAAACAAAAACCAAAAGCAGAAAACAAACAAACAAACAAAATGACTACAATGCCCAAACTTGGCACAGGAAGAATGCGTGTGAGTGAAATCAATGGAGTCGTCGTTTAATTTGTTCCATGTGCCAGTGTGTATAAACACAGAAACATCACTGATCCAGCTTCCAAACGGCTGTCACGAGTACAAACACTAAAATTATCATCATCAGTAACAATACCATCATGTCATTCATATTACAAATAGGCAGTAAACCGTTACATCACGGATGCCTTCGGTCTGGGAATGAAGCGCCTGACCCAGAAACACCCATCGGGCGTCAGCGAGGCCCTTCGTTCCCAGACTGTTAGATGCAACTCGACTCGGACATGAAAATGACTGACAACCAACAGCAAAGAAAAACCATGAATGCAAAAGCATAAAAAAATAGCAAAGTGAACAATCGTGAGGCTCGTCTGGGCAGCGAAACACGATGTAGACTCGTTCGAATACTAAATAAATGAGCTGATGAAAAGGATGCAGGGTTATTGCAATGGAATGAAGCCGTATGGATGGATGATGCACATGTGTGTAAAATGCATGAGCCACGACTAAATGCACTGCTATAGCTGCTCGCACGGTTTTATAGCCAATTCTCCGTGTGTGAGTCTCACAAAAATCCCCAAATCAAACACAAAAGCAATCAGAAATGACATTTGATTATCCTCTTTTAATATCATTACTTCCTTGACAATTACACACATTCATCTCCCAAATTCTCATTACAGTAACACACCTGGACATTTTGTAGTTCCCATTATTCTACAAAAGGGTTATTAGATTCTCACTAGTGTCATTTTAACTGTATTGCAGTACAAATATTGTAATTGAATTATTTAGTTTTTTACATTTAAATCAGCATTAAACATAGTAGAAAAAACTCACCATGTAGTATTCATTACTACACAATTGAAAAATAGCATTAAGGTAATGACAACAATATGTATAGATTTTTTTTGCATGCATGCATTTCAATAATTAAAAAAAGGTTTCCCTTTTGCATTATGGAAATAAAAACAAGGGATTTTTCTGCATTATGGTAATGAGAATTTGGGGAAAATAGTGCTGAATGTCATGAAAGGAAACTATAACTTCTTATTTCTTTCTTTTGATTTTGAAATGAAACGTGACTCAGCCATGTTTCATGAGATTCACCCAGCTATTTGCGGAAATGAGGTTCTAGATACAACTGTACGCAAAACATTATCACTTCCCTTTTAAATGCAGTATGATATTGATATTATTGTTTATGAAGGTCCTTTAAACTGATCCTGGAACTGCAGGCAGAATGACATGCACAGAGAGTCTATATGTAAAGACTTCCAAATGCCAATTCTCACGACTAAAATGACACTCTGCTCATCAAGAGTGCGTTCAAAGCCTCCTCAGCGACATTATTTGACAAAAACACGCTCTTCAAATGTTCTGTTAAATGCTATTTGGGGAAGTTGGTCCCGGTTGCTACTGCATTTTTCTCTCTGTATTTTCAGGGCATCCAATAATGCACAGATGCTGAGATTACAGACAGGAAAAGACATCACAGGAAGTTAAAGAAAGAAAATAGACGTTTCAGCAAAAGCAATCTGCCTTTAGAAGTACGTCTATGTGTTTGATACTATTGGCCACAATTATATTCTTCATTTTTTTATTAGCAAATTGGCTGCAGCGATTTTTATCCTTACTACAAAAACAATTTTATTACCAAAGAACCTTTTTTTTCCTGAAAAATACATATTTTTTTATTGTTTAAACATCCTCCTGTTTCTTACTCTCTTTTGAGCGATATTTCTCTTTGTTAGGGTCAATGTGAACTCATGAGACAGACAGGACTCAAAACAGGTCATGATATGGTGATACATGAAGGATCGCTTGAGGATTCATTTTGGCAGCATAAACGAGTCGTTTCGTGAGCAAATCACTCAATTTCATTAAATTTTTGTCTCATTCTTTACATTTGGAATGTCATATAAACATCGAGCACTTTTTTTTTGGATTGCAAAGGAATTTCAAGTATTTGAATATTGTTGTTCTCGTCCTCATAATCTGCCAAAAACCTCTGTGTTTACGCTGCCAAAATACCACCCTGTGACTGGGAGTGTGAGTGCAATGTTGTGTGTGTGTGTGTGTGTGTGTGTGTGTGTGTGTGTATATATGTGTGTGTGATTTATCTAACGGTGACCCCCAGCTTCTCCAGAACGCGTGTGCCCTTCTCCTGGTACTCCTCTCTGGTCATCCAGAAGTTGTCTTTGTCCTTCATGATGTCGGCTAGCACCGCTCCGCCCAAAAACACCATGTGTTTACGGCGTGGAGGATCCTCGATGCGGATCTTAAACTTCTACAAAAACAGAAGCGAAGACAGACTCAGAAAAACAGCAATTCTATATAATGCAAGAAATTATTAGTAATAAAACTCTAAACTAGCCAGTGTTATTTTAATATTAAGATACTATTTCAGTTTTTATGAATATTCTAATTTAATTTGTATTTTTATATTTTCCATTTTCAGAATAATTTAGTTTTTTTGTTGTTGTTTTTAATTCGTTACGGTTTTCTTAAAATATGATTATATCGTTTTATGAATTTTTATTTCAGTGTAAGCTATTTTAGTACAAGTTAGTTAATGAAAATGAGAAATTTCGCCCCTGCAACTAGCTGAAATAATATTTTAAAAAGTTGACTTGTAGGCTTATCTAGTTATCGTTTTAGTGCATCTGCAAACATCACAGTGACCTTTCACATGGTTAGGGGGGAAAAAATGTCCTTAAAAATTAAAAGTGTTACAATTTCAGCAAGGAATTTCCCTTAATAAAGGAAGCTAATGTCTGTCTATAAATAATCTCAAATACTGCTAAATAAACTGCTACATTGTTAACTCGTCAGTTATCACCACCTAGTGATCAGAACCTTGTGGACAAGGTTTTAGGACGCCTACATCCTAGAGATGGTCCAACTGATCATATCTTTCTTGGGGTCTGTATTAGGGGTGTGCGATATTGATAAAAAAGAATATCTCGATATTTTCTGGGATTTTATCGATAACGATAATTAGACGATATTTTGCTGAGTGTGTTATTGTGCTGGTACCTTAAGGACTGCCGCTAAATGCATTTTAACAGACTGAATCATGCAGTGAAAGAACGGACTCTAAATGCGCACACGCACTAGTCTATACTTCACGCAGGGCCGGATTTACCTCTTATCGTGACATAGGCAAAACAATTTTTTGGGCCCCCCCCTTCCTTATTAATAGGCCTAGCCTATATAATATTACCACCCCAGCAAACAAAAATATTTCGTAATCAGTGGAAACCATTACAGTGTTTTCTGTCGCAATAAGCGCTTGCACTCAGTCAATAAAAATTAAATGTCTTAATTTGTTTGAGAATGGAGAAAGACCATTCCATTAATAGGCTCCAGCGTCGTGGCCAGATTACCACTTCAGGAGTGCATTAATTCTCTAATAATTTTAACGGCCTGGTGTCACAACAACACCTCAAGATATTGTTCAGATGATTTATTTCAAGATAAACCTTCCATTGCAAATTCCAAAACATAATTTTAGAGCTAATAACAGAGGCTTGGGCCATTGAAATGCAGGTTAATGCAGTTATTAGAGAGAGAGAGAGAGAGAGAGAGAGAGATTAAGTGCGTGAATACATGCGTCTGTGCGTCTCTCAGTGTTCAGCAGCAGCGTTTACTAATAGCAAATCTTTAAGTTGAACTGCTTCAAGAACCTCGCTACTAAGAAATGCCATGTAGCTTTTCAGCTGCGAAAATATTTTACTGATAAATTCGCGGGGCAGCGCTGATGATAAGTTTCTGTTCGCGTCTCCGTGTGTCTGCACTGTGTGTGCGTCTGTGAGAGAGAACGGGAGAAAGAATTTATGTACGTGATTTCCATACATAAAAAGGTGGAAAACATGGAAATAGTTTGCCATTTTTTACCCTATTGTTTGTTATATTTATTTGCTCAATGTCTTCTGGTGTTTTGGTTCTTTTACTGTTGTAGATAGCCCATAATATAACAAAAAATATTATATATCTCTTCATTGTGTTTGGGCACCCCTGGATGAGCAAGCATAGGCACGTGCCTAGAATGCCTATGCGTAAATCCGGCCCTGACTTCACGTAATGTATGCGTGCACTCTGTAAGGGTGTTTTGAATGGTTTTTGCAAAATACTCGATAATGTCAAATCGCACATCGTTAAAACAACAATTATGATATTATCGCAGACTAAATATATCGCACACCCCTAGTCTGTATTACATGTTAGTTGTGGTTAAAGCATTCGTACCGAGAGCTTGTCGACGTCGCCCTTCAGGACTCTCTCCAGGTAGAGCTGCTTGAGCTCCCGCTCCAGACGAGATGGCAGACCAGGATACATCGTAGAACCGCCCGACAAAACGATGTGTTTGTAAAACTCAGCCCTGACATAAAGACAAAGACAAATGTCAGTGTGTATATGTACGTGAACATAAAAACATGCTTTTGAGACAAAAAAATAGATCATTTTGACACTATATATGTAACATAATAACTATATATGTAATATTATATGACATAAATAATACGTTGTAACAAAGATATAAATATAAATACATAATGATAACATTACAATTAAAAATATGATTATTATCAATAACAATATTTTTTTAATTATACAATACTTATATTACTTACAATTACTTATATAATACTTTTTAGTATTTTAAAACTTTTTTTAAAAACGTTATTACAAGTTTTTACTATATTGCTATTATGTCTTATTGTTGTGGCAGTTTGGGTTGAAGAAAAGCACATGAAAAATAAAATGCATTATTATTACTATTATTATTTAGTTTGTAAAAAGGAGACAAAAAAATAAGATAATAATCAACTATATATATATATACTGATTATGAAATATTTCAACTGACCTGGTATCAATGTCAGCGGCATGGATGGTGTTGAAAAGCAGTTCAGCCACACCCACTCCCTCCACGTTAATGAGGTGAGGCTGGAACAGAGCCTCTGGAGCCTCGAACCGCTCGCCGCCCACTTTAATCACTCTGCCGTCCGGAAGCTACAAACCCAGGGACAAACTAGTGTGAATTCTCCCATTTCATACACTGCTGACAGGTTCAAAGAGGTAAATTTACACACCACACTGCTGCCCTCTGCTGGCAATAACAAGTCTGCTGTCCAGAGGGTCATTAGGGTTTAAGATGGTTTAAAACGCTCACTAGGTTATGGAGCAGAACTTATGGGTTAATAACCCTCTCGCTGCTCCTGCATCGGGCTGAACTCACCGTGTAGGACTCCACCAGCACGGTGGTCTCCAGCGCAAGCTTCTGCTCCTGCTCGATGTTATAGCCCACGTAACACAGCTTCTCCTTCATCATCCTCACCGTCTCGAAGTCTGCCGAGTGGTTGAAGGCGTAACCCCTCAACAACAACAGCTGCAGAGAAACGGGCAGCGTTAAGATTCATTCTGGAGGTTTGTCCGTAAAAAAATACATCTAACACGACACTTTTTTTTTTCTTTTTTTTTTAAAATAGAAATTAAGCTGAAATAAAATAGAAATTAATCGACACAGATTAAGATTTTTTTATAATCGAGTACTCTAATTAAATTGAGGAATCATGACAGCCCCTAAACAAAATTATAAAAAAAATGAAACTTAAAATTAAAGGGTTAGTTCACCCAAAAATGAAAACAAGCTTGTGTTTTACTTAACCTCGAAGCATCCTAGGTGTATGTGACTTTCTTCTTTCAGACGAATCCAATCGGAGTTATATTAAAAATTGTGCTGGCTATTCCAAGCTCTATCATTGCAGTCAGCGGGTGTTGCAGTTGAACAGTCCACAAGTCGTCAAATAAAGCTCGCGCATTCACAATAAAACGTGCCGCAGACGGCTCCGGGGGATGAATAAAGGCCCCCTGTAGCGAATCTATGAGTTTTTGTAAGAAAAATATCCATATTTCAAACGTAATAAACACTTTTCTCTCACTTCCGTTATCTATCATACGCGGATCCGTTCCGGCGGATGACGTAGTATGTATGCGCAGCGCGCACGCCTCTGAGATATGCTAGTCTCGTGAGTTTGTTTATAGGAGCAAAGGAAGCAAAGTTTCCTTACTTTAGCAAAGGAAAACCAATCTCCTCTTGGTTTATATCGAAATCCTCTGACATTTTTCTTTGCAAATCTTCGGTTTGTGCTTCTAATTCGTGACCGGCGTTTTGTTTTGTTCTCTCTCCGCATTCGTCACTAATCACGCAACGCGTCTTACGTCATCCGCTGGAACTGCTTCCGCGTATGACAGTCAGTGCAAGTGAGAGAAAAGTGTTTATTACGTTTGAAATATGGATATTTTTCTTACAAAAACTCATGGATTCGCTACAGGGG